CCGCCCCATCAGTCGCTCTCATAGGAACAGCCTTAAGTTTCACGTATTTTTCACCATTTTTCCCACCGTTTCATTAAACCCCTCCCTCCTCCTCCTCCACCTCCCTCTGCCGCCTTCCACTACGCTATTACGTAGTCAGTGTACTGTCGCTTCCGGTAACAAAAAGTCCATCTTTCCCTTCACGCTCATCCCCAGAAAATCGCCATCGGCTCTCAGCCACTTTTTACAGCAGCAGCTTTAACGCTACCGGTTGAAGGATCGACTTCCTGCTAAAGTGTATATATATATATACACATATACAGTAGTATATATATATATATATATATATATATACTACTACTGCAAAACGCCAGAGGGTGACCCAACAGATATCCACAACTATATTCCCACAGAGACCTCCTTCCAAGCTAGCACCATCACAAAAGATACGAATGCATACTTCTAGCCTTAAAGGAGCATGTAAATCGTACGTAATGTATTTTCACGTATCGGTAATCTTTTATTTTTTGTAATCTTCGTTACATCAACTGTATATCGAGTTAGAACGACCAAAATTTTTTTTTCCTTACAACCCAATTACGATCTACGACTTTTTCCAATTTTCCCTCGTAGCGGACTTCAACTCAAAGGACATCCCGTAGGGACGACTCTGCATGCATTAGCGCGGGTTGGCTCGTTCGAGTCGCTTTAAAACAGGCCGTCCTGAACGTATTAAGTTATGACGCTGTAAACAGCCGTCTCGGGCGCGGCTTATTACCATAGACGAGACTGAAGGTACCAAGGGTTGCCGAGACAGAAGATTCAAGGTAAAAGCATTAACTAAGAGTAAAGTAGAAAAATATACAGTTACCAGATCCAACGGATATAGTTATACCACCGAGCGAGAAAAGCTCGAAGTCACCCCAAAAAAAGCGGCACCGGAAGCTAACCCTGGCAATTACTTGTAATAGAATAGGGGATGAAGCGTTGAGTGAAATATTACGAGAAAAATAGTGAAATTGAGGGGGGGGGGGAATAATAAATATAAAGAGCTACCTCAAGCTCATAGGGGGATCATTGCTGTGGAAGATTAATTTTAGTCGTAAAAGCCCACTAGCGATATAACGGATGATTAGAATATACGGCTTCATTATAGAGAAAGGCATATAAGTGTAATAGCATAAGTTGCCTGTGGGGTGGAGAAGAGGAAGCGCAGTCTAAAACAAATAAAGGGCTGCTAGCCGTCACGTTTGCCTTATTAATTTTCCAGCTGGTAAAAAGGCAGCCTCACGTACGCCCAACCCTTATACGTGTACCCGTGACGTGGCGGGAGGGCAGCCTATAGTGTACAGCAGTATACAGGAGT